CTGCTGAAGTAGTGGATATTGTCTTCAGAAGTAACTGGAATAGGTCCTTGTGCTGTATTTTAAAAAGGGGTTAGCTAAAAGATGTAACTAAAGCATTTTTAAAAAATCTAGCCATCAGGGCAAGCTGGATTGAAAGCCCACCTCATGGACCAGCTAGTCCATGTTAAAAATGCAGCTTGTCCTGCCTACGTTAGAGCATTTAAAACAGGTACTTCCCCTTGTCTATGTAAGCCCTGCACAGGGTTACCGCACAAAAAGGAACTGTAATGGGGCACTGAGAGGTTCCAGGCCCATTTTGCTCCCACTCCTTAATGTGATGCTATCTGTGCTTCACGGGGAAAGGCAGGGCTCAAAAGGCAAGGTGCCAAGCCCCACAGCTCCTGTGGATTTCAGTGGCTCAGCACCTGGCGTCGCTGGGCCCAAGGAGAGCAGCGCACAAGGAGCAGTAGCACCAGTAGCTGGGTAGTTGGTACTGGTAGCTGTACACCAGACACTTTCACTGCAGAGCACACCTTATGGCTCACAGAGGACAGCATCAGGCCAGAGGTTCCCAGACTTTTGGGGCTGTGGTTCATGTTAACATTTTTGATGCACCACTATATAACCTGATAAGCAGCTCTCAGCTGAAGACATTCAAAAGGTGATGGGTTTCAGAGGACAGCTTACCTCAGCCTCAGACTGCAGCTTGTGAGCTGCTGCTTTACACATTCAGAATGGCTGGTGTCTCAGTATTGTGCAAGAAATACCACAACTTCATTAAGGTGCTGCTCAGCACAGGTCCACACAGTGGAGACAGTGATATGTTGCTATTACCTAAAAGCTTATTTGGGCAGACCCCATGTCTGCAACAACTACACCAATTATTTTACCCATTTCTGAATGATCTTTACAGTAGTCCTTTGTTGGTTCCTGTTCTTCAAATACTGCAATGACTTTTATTCCAGCAAACCAGAGAGATTAGACCAAACATCTGTTTAAAACTGAAGATCAGGTTGCATACAACATCACTACGAGAGCCCAGACACCCCAGAGTAATAATGCTACCTGCCAATTTTGCACTTTTCAAGAGCAGAGGATAAACCCATCCTGCATGCCAGCCTCTCCCTGTGCATTTTCTTGTGCCTCTTTTCTCCTCCCCTCCCTGCCCCTTAGTGGCAGTTTTTGCTCACCTGAGAAAAGTGCAGACAGCTCACCTTGTTTTACACTGAAGAGTAGAAGAAGAAGAAAGTGAACTGAAAACATACTGGGGAGGAGGGAGAAAGACCTGCTTAGGACTTACACTGATGTCTCTTGGTACCTCTTAGCCCTTTAACATCATTCATGGCTGCTGTTCTGCACCCCCAGGCAGCAGACACACACCAAAATGCTCTGACAAGGAAGCTCTACTTCAAGTCATGAGGGGACCAAATAGCTCATGAAGTTAACCCACCCACCTAGGCCTCTCCAGCAGCACTCCCATAATCAAACTGTCCTCACCACACTGCCACATTTATGGTCTCCTACACTTCTATGGGATTTTTATCACTCTGCAGTCAAAATGGTGACCTCCCTGTGACTGCTTAGCTTTGTCACGTGCATGCTGCACGTTCCCTTCTGACAGCCCTGTGGGCCTGGCCATGGCTCACCGAGCCCTGCTTACCCCCTGGGTCAAGCCCGTTTCTGACCAGGGCCTGTGCAATCGCCCATGGACATCTCTAAGCTTTGCTCCCAGCTGTTTTCATCTGCTCCCCTGAAAGCTGCAGAGTTTACAGTTACATGAGGTGGGAGGTATTGGGACCTCCCCATATCACTGTGCAATGAAGCCTCATTTCAGTGGGGAAAGACCAAATTTTCCCAATTAGAGGCATCAGCTGGCTTTCCCAGTTTCCCCATCCTGTCCCCTCCACACACACGGAGCGGGTGCTGCCACACAACAGAGATTGCTTGGTGGAAGTCTTGGGACGCCAATGTTTTCGTTGTCCCTTGAATCTTCCAAGGTTGGCTACAGATCAGCTCAGTTTGCACGATTAAAAACAAAAGAAAACAAAACAACCCCAAACCAATTCAAACAGAAAAACCAACAATCCAAGGATGGGGAGAATATCCACCTCTCTCTTTTCTTTTTTCAAACATAACAACCAAAGCTCTAGACTATACAAGCCCATTCATTGGGGGTTTCCAAACAACTCATCGAGTTCTTGTATCCACTCATCCCCTGGTCCGCTCTTAATGATGGAGTCCACAAGGTCTGCACCCTCTGCTAAGCTGGAGAAGGACCCCCCTGCTCCTTCATTGCTGTAGTTGTAAGATATGTCCTGAGTGGGATTCCTTTCGTAGGCCTGGCCTTGGCTGCTCTGACCAAAGTTACCACCTGGCATTTGCTGTGCCGGGGTCTGACTGAAGCCAGACATTGCAGGGACCCCCTGGCTTATTGCAGGCATCACCAGCTGCCTGGCCTGGCTGGCTCCTTGTTGCCCAGGCAGCTGCTGCAGCAACTGCCGTCCCATCGCTGGGGTCAGGGCTCTTACTGTTCCACTTGTGTCCACAACTGTCTGATTAAGCACCTGTGGGAAGTGTTGCTTGGGCAGCCGTGGCTGCCCAGACTGCATGGGGTACGTTGTGCCGTTGTTGAAGGGCCCCATTTCCCCGCTAGTCCTTCCCGGTATCCCTTGCAAGCCTCGCTGCTGCCAGTTCTGTGCTCCCTGGGGGACAGTGCCCATCAGGTTTTGAAGCCGTGGTGCTTGTGGCCTGGGTAGGACCTGGCTCACTGGTCCTTTCAGCTGCTGCTGATGCTGGGGAGGAGCAGAGTTTACCAGCATGTTCTGACCAAAACTGCCCACCATTCCCACTGCTTGTCCAGAGGCAGGCTGCCTCGTCCCCTGGCCCGTGCCGTGTGCCATGCTCATGCTGCTTTGGTTTGGGTGCTGCAACATTTGGCTCATCCCTGTGCTCATGCTGTACATCCCCGGCTGGCTGGAGGAGGCGTTGCTGTAAGGGGCCATGCCCATGTCTGACTGGCCTGCAGTCGTGGGCAGTGTGCTGGGGTTCTGGGAGGGACCCATGGCCATCATGCTCGCGTTCTGGGCCATCATTCGGGACGTCCTCATGCTCTGGAGTGCTGCTTGGTTTCTCACAGCTGCTATATCCTGTGGAGAACCTGCACCAAAAAAGAAGGAAGGTAAGAGAAAACTACAAACCGCTAAATGTTAATTAACACGTCGTTGCACAAGAGAGAATTTGTAGGAGCCCTCTGCATGCATGGCAGGATTTCAGATTCCTGTGCTTTCTGAGTGAATAGATTATTGTTTCAAGTGATGGTTAGCAGAGAGCTAGGCGGTTATCCACCCTGCTGCCTAATGCTGGTTCCATTTCAGAGATTTTGTGTTCCCTGCCTCGCTCTGACTGCAGCCTCTGTCCTGACCTGCCAAGTCTCCTCCTTGAAGGTGAGAGTCACCACAGCTCAAGTGGTGAACAGGAGCTGCTGATCGTGTTATGTATTCAATTTGTGAAGCGGGACACTGCTCAGCAGAGAATACTATTGATGCAGACGAGCAGCCTAATTCCCTTAAAGCCTAAAATGAGGCTGGCAAGGTTAAAAGACCAGCAATTTACTGGCTAAGTAATTCTCAATGATGACAGTTTTGGGATGTGTACCCAAAGGGATTCATGGCTTCAGAGTCTTGAAGAATCGAGGCAATACAACTGCATGCTGATGCATGACTATAGCCATGGTTGCCTCCCTGATAATGAGCTGCTCAGGTACCTAAGCAAGGCAGCCACAGGAGCTGCAGAGCTAAAATACACTTCTCTTACTTCCCAAGGACCAGAGATTAAATTTTTAAGAAGCAACCTGGGAGTCCAAGTCCCCTTTCACAATTAAATGTGAGTCTTTCTCTTTGTGTGCATGTTTGTCCCCATGACCAGTGACAATGACCCTCCTTCATGAAAAAATTAGTCCTTAAGACTGCAAACTTGCATGTGCACTGTGATTCAGTAGTGCTTATCTTCTTCAGATAAGCCTAACTCAGCTTCCAGAATGCAGATGAGGAAGCTTCCACTGGCCTTCTTCAATGGCAGCAAAGCAGCTGAACTGCAGTTTACTATTTGAAGCTCTCTTCTAAGTATCTCCATTGTCTTTCAAAAGTAAGCCTTGAAAATGGAAATGTCAGGCTCAGAAGGCCAATCAATTTTTTAATAGCTCAGGAGGCATAAATGAATAGATTTTCTATATCATTGTTACTGATTAAGTCTATGGAAAGAAGAAAAATTGTTTTTTGTGGACATTTAAAGCAGGGAGAGTGTATTAGTGAATCAATACTATGAGCACATTTTACTCCACCTTACTCCAGCAATGGGAAACCAGAAAATCCTAACCTTGTTAAATTCCACACCGTGGCAGATAACTGAACCATGTTTACATCTTCCTTTCAGGGGTGGGGGGAGCTATTGATTTCCAGGAAGCCAAGAGCTTCCGTATTTACTATCTTTATTTAAAAAACAATTATGGTAGCTCTGATTATGCCATGGGTTGATTGTGGGTTTGAGTCACTACCACACTTAACTAAATACAATCAGCTGCAGGTGAAGCTCCAAGAGATTGAGGCACACAAATACTCCCAGCTCAAACACTGTTAAAAGCAAGACATAAATATAAAATGGTTGCTTTAAGAATCATAAACTGTGCAACAAAATCTGAATGCTCTCAGAGCAGCCCTAGATGTTGTCCCTCAGTGGCAGACAACACACTGGAACATCTGTAGAGAAAAAATACCCGGCCCTGTTATTTACGTTGGCTTGGTTTCCACAGTGGGTATGAATGAAGGGTCATCCCTCTGGTTTTGCACACACGATGCAGAGGATGGCTATGTCACTCTTTTGCTGCAGCAGGATAACCTTCTGGAGGATGCTTTTAACTCAGCTCTCCAACAGGTAGATAAATGAAACATTTTGTAGCATGAAGAGAGACCATCTGGATCCCACTTGCACAGGGCAAATGTAGCACAACTTCTGCTTTATGTATGCTATCAATTAAACTGTTTTCTTAATGATTGGCACTGAGGTCTCCTTGAGTCTTTTAAATTTAGTTCACCTCCTTCTTCCACAATTAGAAGCTGTCTCTTTTTGCTACGATTTCAGCAAGTGCTTAAGTGTACAGATGATAAAACCTAATGCATCTTTAGCTATTTTTAATTGGAAACAGCAGTTGAAAACCTTCAAAGGAGTCACTGCCAGCATGTGGTTCACACACTACTGGTGCAAACTCCTGTGCTTGGTATAAGAGGAAAGAGTTCAGACAAGAAGCAGTTAAAAGAGAGATGCAACAGATTTTAGGATTTTGGGCCACCTTCTGGTCTCACACATAACCTACTGCACTTGATTACATTCTTGTGACTAAACAGGAAAACTGGTGAAATTTTTATATTTAAACCAGCTCATTTATGAAAATTAATTCCTTGCTCTGCCAGATTAGCCTAAACTCTCTTCTGCATTTCTTTTAAGTAATACATATGAAGGCAAGGTTTCGAAAAAGCATTAATGTAGAAGGATTTTACATGTGCATCTCATGGAGGTGCACACACATATAATTTTATTTTGCAAAAGAATTATTGGGAAAATTACCATTTCTTATAGAATTTATGTTGCCAAAGATAAGAATGAGCAGACAACTGCAGAAGGAGCCACTCTGATAGACACAAGCATAAGATCGGACTGCTTGTTCAATTCCTGAACTCAAGAACTGCAATACAGTTGCCTCCCTTGTTTTCTGTTGCAGCTACACGACACTATCACAAATATACAGCTCAAGTGCACGTTCATTTCACGTCTACTTAGAGTCCATGGTTAGTGAAGACATTCAGCTGATGCTTTGCATGTAAAAAGTTCAGAATTAACTTGTTTTCCTAAGCCGAAATGATTGTCCTTACATTCTCCAGTTATATGTGAGCTCATTTAAATAATATTTGCTTTTATTGAGAACATTAAAAGATCTCTGTTTCATCTCAGATATTTCACTGTGTTTCCCATACCTGACATTTATCAGACACTTCTCCAGGTAAGGATGCCCTCTCTGCAATTACCTGCTCTACAAACTAGGTAAAGTGGGGAATAAAGAGGAGTAAAACCGAGATACAGTGAGAGAGACTGGCTGACAAAAAAGGCATAATGAGAGTGAAGGCAAACAAGATAAATCCATAGACTCCAGATGTCAAGGAGGCAAATATAACGTCAAATAAAAAATGCAGCTTTCACTGAGGGGAGCAGAAAGGAAACTAGGAACTTAACTAAATACACAAGACTGTGCATTCCCCATCGGTAATATATATGGCATGTGCAAGTGTGCAACAGCCCGAGTTCCTATTCTGGCACACTGATTAACCCCTTAATGCACGAACTTTCATGTGCCTGCTACAGGGCCATAAGTTGAGTCAATATAGGGAGAAAAATTTGACTTTTACCTTGGAACTGATTGACCTGTTGCACCGGATACGGGCTCCGCTGTTGCTGCAGATGCTGTCGAGGCAAATGTGACTGCTGCTGCAACTGCTGAAAAAGGGTAAGGGAAAGAAAGCAGAAGAGAAAAAGATGATTAATTAATTAGTAAGCTGAGAAAACAGCTGGTGGCAAAAGTACTGCAGCAGAAACTGCAGCGTTTCTTATCTAGCAAGTTGTTCTGGAGAGACAGTCATGTGAAGAGTCCTCCTGAGAGCACTTGGGCTACTCAGCACACAGACTCCTTTTGGTTCAAAAAAGACTTAGCACTGAGGCTAACAGCTCCTCTTCTTACTTACAACCACTTCATCTCGACCTCTACAGTGCAAACTTAACTGTCTTCAGGCTGAAAGGAGGGGGAGGGATATGAAATCACTTCACTCACTTAGCTCTACCACCTTTCCTTCCCCCAGCCCTGCCAAGGTCTAGAGGTTTGTGTTCCTGGCACAAGACTTCCCTCCACCTCTGCAATCAAAGTGCTGGGCTGAAAGGTTTCTGCATCCTGACCTGAGCACTGCAGCCTGGGACCATTC